TTTTTTTTTTTTCTAGGTCAGAGGTTTTATCTTCTACATCAGAGATTCTATCTTCAGCATGGTCTAATCAACTTAATGCTTTCAAGAGAGTTTTTGATTTCCTTTATTACAGACTTCATCTCTAACAGTTCCATCTGATTCTTTCTCAGAGTGTCCATTTCTTCTTTCATATCATGGGAAGACTTCCTAATCTTCTGTAGTTCGTTGTCTCTTTTCTGTTCCAACTCATAGAATTTGGTCACCATGAATGTTCAAAATTCTTTCTCTGACATTCGGGTGACATCCTCCATTTTCATGAAAGATAGAGGGGAGTTACTCTGTTCCTTTGATGGAGACATATTTCCTTGTTTATTCAGACCTGAGGCTCTTCTTCTACTTCTAGCTATTGGAAGATGTACTTACTTTTGAATACCTCTTAGGAGAATGTTTCACTGACTAGGAGTGTGTTTCCTTTTTGCTGCGAATTGACGTGTGCCGAAGTATCTATTCTGTTGTTTTTAGTAATGTGGTCTCAAGAAAGATACTCTATTCAGGTGTCTGAAGAGCAGTATCTTCTTTTTCACAGCTGGTTCAGTACAAGGGAGAATCCTATAGGACCTTATATTACTAGAAAATTTCAGATCTCTGATGAGGGACCTGCCTAGTCCCTCTGACAAGGTGGAAGATGAGGAAGAGAAGATAATATAAGAGAAAAGAAAAGAATACAGAGGGGAATAAAGAAAAAGTCAGAGGCCTAGAGATGGAACTGGAGGCGGCTGCAGGGAAAAGGACAGTCTGTGGGGAAAGGAAGAGAAGGATATTAACAAAAGAATGGAAAAGAGCAAAGGAAAAAAAAAAGAGAAAAACTGCCTACTTGCCTATGAGTCTGGGTGGGTCTTGGGCTGGGGAGCCTGGAAGTGAAGCGGTAGGAGCAGTGGTGCCCCTGCCTCAATGTCCCTTACTGTCCAGAGGCCTGGAGATGGAACTGGAGGTGGCTGCAGCAAAAAGGACAGTCTATGGGTCTGGTGGGTCTTGGGCTGGGGAGCCTGGAAGTGAAGCGGTAGGAGCAGTGGTGCCCCTGCCTCAATGTCCCTTACTGCCCAGAAGCCTGGAGTTGGAACTGGAGGTGGCTCCATGAACTTTTTGAAGTCCCCTCCTATTGTATATTTTCTGCTCGAAATAGAAATAGACTAAGCTGAGATGGGCCGTCCAGGCTGCTAATATCTGAGCACTGATTAGAGACCAATCAAAAGTTAAAAGCAAAGACATGGAGCCAAGTGGTAATGCCATAGTGATGCAGTGGGCCCCACCTGGAAAGGTCCTGGGACCTCCCTGAACATGTGGGACATGCTAGCTGAGACTGGGGTAGACTGAGAAAGAGGGATGCTATTGGTGGTGCATGTCTTTCTCTCATGAAATAAATAAATAAACCTAAATAAGAGAGAGACTATGCTAAAACCATACAAAACAAAACCCGAAGAGATGCTGAGATTCTGAATTATGCAGGTTGGTCAAGTCTTGTGTCTTGTAAGGGAGTTGGTTGGGGATTTTGCATAAAATCTTTGGAGACAGTGTCTTGGCTAGAGCTTGACTTTTCAAGGAGACAGTGGAGTCCAGAGATAGTTACAGAGGGCTGCCTGTGACCAGAACCAGACTAGCCAAGGGCAGGGACTGGAGTTGTGGTAAAATATGTTGGGGGGGCCAGAGACTCAGCCTATTTGGACCTCACACAAATTGTAATTGTATCAAAAATAGACTCCTTTTGAAAAACATCCCACTGTCAGTATCATTCATGGGTCACTTGGGATATTGTTAAAGACATAAATCCCAAAATGAAATGAAATGAACAGAAAAGAGGAGGGAAGGGTGGGGCCATACAGCAAGTTGACCATGTTGCTCTATTCCAGGGTCTGACAGAGACATAGAGGATCCTGGGAAGCCCTCTCCTAGGAAGAACTGATACTGGGCAGGTAGCTGGGGAGGCAGGAGGAATGGTTTCCTGATGCAAGGTGCCAGCCTGCAGAACATTTCCATGATGCAGAAGACATGAGGAACATGCTTTTCTTGTTCATTTCATGCCTTCTGAGCACTTAGCTCATGGAGGTTCATAGTAGGCCCAAACTGTAGTGTATGTTGTACACAAACAGAAAGGGAGACGTGTGTCATGTGCAATGTTGATATGGTTGAATAAAAATTGTTAGGAACCCTTTAAAGACTATTGTGCATTTAAATAACTAGCTCTCCAAGAGGGAGCACAAATCTAATTTACTAAAGCAATTAGTAATTTCCCTAGTGATCATTAATATCTTTGTCTCAGAGCATGTGGTGATAGCATTTGTCATGGTTGATATATCACAGTGATTCTTGTAAATTTCTCTCTTGCTCACTAGACTAAATTTTTAGACAATGAAGTTTTTATTTTTTTCTTGTCTGTGATTCTTCCTATGATCTCTAGCCTTGGGCATTGTATGCCTGGTAAATAGTGATTAAAAACAGCAAATTCAATCTGGTCCCATAGCCTGGTAGTTAAAGGAAATGGATTCCTGGTTAACAGCAGTTCAAATCCCAGTCTGTAGCTTGAAAAATATTCTGGGCATAAGTGTGTGCGTGCCCCAAATCCTAGCAGGTTGGAGAAATGGGGTAGAAGGGATTGGGGTTATGGTATAACCATGCTCCAAGGGGAGAGGAGGGTGCTTTCTCCCCGTCTGTCTCTCTCTGGTGAGCACATGTGCACATAGGCAAAACAAAACAAAACTTGAGGTCAGCAGGTGGTACAGTGGTTAAGGTGTTGCACTCCAAAGTGGCCAGCTATGGTTTGAGTCCTGGATCTGGTAGCTTAAAATTCATGCTGGGTGCGTGTGCATGTGTCCCTAAAATCTTGAGAAGCGAATGGAGGAGAAGGGATTGTGGCATGGCCATTCCCCCTGGGGGATGATTTCTTACTTTCTCTCTCTCTGGCAAGTGCATGCACCCTGTAACAAAAGATCTCTCTTTTAAGAAAAAAAAAATTACTAGCAAGTTATTTTCACCACAAAGGTTATCCTGTAGAGTAATGCTCAAGAGGAAAAGTTGGAAATTGCATCCCAGAAACCTTCTTTCAATGAGGCAGCACCATAAGGCAAGACAGGAGAGTTATCCAAGAGAAGCCGCCATTCCTACCCACCATTTTTGTTCCTTCACACATGACTGTACCAGGTCTTCTAAACATCTCCTGGATGTAGGCGTTATTATGAAGTTTTTATATTTTCTAAACCTTGGATTTGTCTACAATAAGGAATTTGTCCAGTAACTTACATTTAGTAATGGTAAAGCTGTTACTTAAACCCAAGAGCTGAACTGTTAGCGATTTGTCATTAGTTCCCCCCTTCCTTTGGTCATCATCTTTGGCTTCTCTTAGGGGGTTTTCTTCTTTTTCAAAATACCATCTCTCTCCATTTGTCCTGCTGCTATTTCAGGAAGGAGTGGGAGGACTGCATGGGAAATGAAATGTTTTGCAAGTCCTTTTCTGGGGTCAATGTGTCTAAAGTGAACTGCCTGTGAAGGCTGATTGTCTCATTTCCAAGAAGAGTACTCGGCGATCTCTAAATGTGCTGAATTAGTGTGGGGCTCTGGTCCTCAACCTAGGGTGATGCTACCCTCACCCTTTCAGGGGACAGCTGGCCATGGCCAGAGACATTTTAGGCTGTTGCAACAGGGCATGTGTGCTACTGGGGCAGAGGTCAGGGACGCTGCTAAACATCCCTAGCAGGCACAGAACAGCCTCCACAATGCAGAACTATTCAGCCCAAAATGTTGACAGTGTCCAGGATAAGAAGCCCTGGTATAAAGTGTTTCTATATTTCTTATATCTTTGGAAGCTAGTTTAGTTTGGGGCTTTATTTCTAATAAAGTAGAGCATATGTAATTATGTGTATTACAGACAACTAAATTAATATAATATACAATGTACATAGTAGTTTTACACCCATAATTGTCTTATGATTTTCATGGACATTTCATTTGCTGATGGAGAAGCAGGCTATCGAATGAAGAAAGCAGATGGCTCCCTTAATAGACCAATAGCTTTTGGTCTTTAAAATCAGTGTCGTTGCTATTAAAGACTAATATTAGGGTATAGAGAACATTTTTTCATAACTCATGGTTACTCACCACCTACTTATTTTTGAGGAAAATTCCTCATTGTCTTCCCAGATTCAGACCCTGAATCTCAGCATCCTTTGCAGTTAGAACTCAGGTGTGGAATCCAGGGTCTGCCACTAAAATGCACTCGAGTGAGGCTTTTGTTCAGAAACGAGTGACCTGAGGAGACAAAGGCTACGTTTTACTTAATAGGGTGACAGCAGAGGTGTCTGACTTTGGGGTACAAGATTGAGTTCCTAAGGCAGAAATGGCATTGGTGGAGGTGACAGTAACAATGGCAGCCAAACTACGTGGCAGTGTGTGGGTGGAGGTTTCTTCATCAGGGGTTGGCTTTGTAGGTGTGGCCATGAGGCCTGACAACAATTATGTGCACCATAACCCCCATCAATTACAGGAGGAGTAACTCTTTGTCCACTATGACACAGCTTTTTGTTGTTGTTGTTATTTATTTATTTATTTATTTCTGAAACATTTTTAAAAATTAATTTACATTCATTCCCTAAGCATCATCACAGCATACAAAATGTGATTTCCCATCCAGAATATACTGCATAGTGACTTAATCATGCATGTTATCGTCAATAATTTTCCCTTTCTAGTTACATATATGTGTATGTGTGTGTGTGTATGTGTGTGTATATATATATATATATATATATATACACATATATAAAAATTTTTTTACCCCT